GGTTGTTATAACCTTCCTCCTGTTGCACTCAAACGTGGTCAAAGTTCCAACAGATACCATATTTTAAATTATTGCTGAAATCAAACATCACGTTTACAAGAAAGAAAACAAGGTTGACCACGCGACCAATAACCCTCATTATTGATAACGTTGAGAGAATGAAGGTCTCTTTTTATGACAAACATGAGTGAATTTATTGAATTTTAATTCTTGTCTCTACATTAACAATTAATACTAGCCCGTAAACTTGATCTTTTATCTATTTATTATCAGTAGAAATTTCCTGTAAGGGTATATTTTATTTATAATATTTTATATAATAAGGTCAGTCATAAAGGATACTGATGTGCCTCAGATTTTATACGTAGGGCTTACATGAGGTAGTAACCCAACGTTGGTAATTTTAATTACTACACTGCTAGAAGGTGATCGTCACGTGACTGCAAGCAGTCTTTCCCTGTATATGAGATAGTGTTGCCGCATTAAACAATTACTAACCTTAATCTCTGATTACTAACATTAGTGGTATCGCATTGGGCAACAAAGCAGTGAGGACAGCCTGGTTCAGTAAAATATCACTGTACTGCTTCTTTTTTTTTTTTTTTTTAAGACTCGTATCCAGGTGAAAAAAGATCAGCGCAGTTGGACCAGTTGTAGATATCAAAATCATTTATGTTTTGACAATTCTATTTTTCGTTTGTTTGTAAAATGATGTAGTATACGTTCTAATGATTGTGTTCTGATTTTGATATAAGGGGCTTGCTTAGTGCTGTAGATTCGTTCACCTCTGGGCGTCTACTTGTACAATCAGCTCAGGTCAAATATCAAAGCCGGTGTCACGAATTATATTAATTAGGTTGTTTCGTAAAAGGTTTCAACTTCGTCTGGTGTGAACCTGTGAGTTCCTGCCAGGAATGTTCGTGCGAAGGTGCTGTACAAGCTGTACCCGCTCGGTGGGCTGTAAGTATAGCCAAGGTCGCTGAAAGAATTGCTATTAGATGACGCGTAGTTGGAAATGTGAATGTCATGTCCGTCTCCGAATGTAGGCCCGTAGATTGAGCGAAAGTATATGGAAAATGATTTTTGATAGCCATATTTGCCTGACTGAGGCAATTTGACAGGCGCCCATCCTGGCTTGTTTACCAGCGAAAATAAGAAGGCTTTTGAGTCGTATTGATACCGGCCAGAACCAGAAGCTAAAAGAAATGAACCAAAACTTTTCTAAGATAAGTTAGCGACATTGTCCTTGTGCCTGTCATAATGATGACGATGATCATGATGATCATTATTATTAATTAAAGACAATAAATACCTTACTCTCATACAACAAATTCGATCGAGTGTTTTTTGTTAGCCGAAATTTGTAAATTTCACCAAAAACTTGCGATGAAGTACGTTAGTCGCTACTTTTGCAATGTAGGAATTGAAGGATGGAAGATAGCAGGTTGGCAAGAAAGTCAGAACAATATCGATATTTTATAAACTCAAAATTATTAGTATAATAGTATTAGCCTGGAATGTGGGCACGTTTTGACAGGCTAGAAATGCATCACTTATCATCTGCAGAAGCAGAACTTGAGAAGAAGGGTGGGAGGGGGGGGGGGGGGGGCCCTCTTTCAACCCTGGGGGGTTGGGGGGGGGGTTCCTGCCCCTTTAGGAAAGGGGGGAATTGGGGCCCCAACTTAGGCTAACCCATTTAGAAAGGTAGGGGAAAATGAACCCCTAATGTTAAGTAACCAACCCCCCTTTTTGCCGAACAATTCCATGCCAATTGGCCCCAAAGATAAAATTCCACCTACCAGGGCTAAAATTTTCACTTTCCCCC